AACGAACACGTGCTCTCGGCAAAAATCAAAAATCAAAATGACTTTAAAGAGGGAGGAAATTTTCTCTTTTGATTTAGATTTGCAAATTTTGCCAACTTATGAGAAAGACGGGGAACATAGGGAATGAGGAAAGGGAGGAAAGTGACCCATGGTCCAACATATGAGGGGGCTAGAATTTACATCTGATCTAGACAGCAAGTCCACTAACACTGAGACATGGGAGGCTGCTGTCCTGGCTAACCAGCTCAGCTGAAAGAAGTAATTTCTGACAGTCAGAACGCACACACACCCTGGCAACAAAGGGGTTAAAACAAATGAGTTGAAATCTGAACTTTTAGTTGAGAAAATAATGATGGTGTAGTCAACATGAAACAGGGGATGAAAACACTGTCTACAGGCCAAGATGTATCAGACACTCATGAGACAGGGGGATAAAACCACTGTTTTTAATGACATACTGAATCAGACAGATGTGAAAAGGAGGATGGAAATACGGTTTTTTTTCAATGCCATTCTTTATCAGACTGACGCACAATGGGGGATGAAAACACTATGTTTGTTATGCCATTCTTTATCAGACAGCTGCTATTATAGAAGGAACATTTATCAAACATTTGAGCTGCAACCGTGACAAAGAAGTAACAACGCACATTACACAAATCAGTTCTGTCACACTTTTTAGTACAATATTATCTTCTTCTCCAGATTGTTTATATTTTTTTAATTTATAGGTGTTTTCTTTACACCCCAGCCCACACAATTTAGATAATTAAGGAGGCAGGCTTCAACCCTGCATGTCAGGGCCAGCCCAGGCTGAGAGGGATACAATACAAAGTCCCAGCAGAAAGACACAGACACTCAACAAAAAATTCTCTCCACATGGGAATCAAACTCCCGCCCCCTGAGGGTGGTGGCCAAGCATTTAACACTTACATACCGCCGGTGAGTAAGGCCGTAGTATGCGCTCACTACCGCTGGCGATGAACGCAACCAGGCGCACTAAAGATAATTAAACAACGAATGGACGCACTGCACAGAAGTAAATACCAAAGGAAGTCACTTTAAATGATGGCTGAATAGTTGATGAAGCTCTGTGAATTTTTAAAGCGTGTGTCTTGGGCTGCCACGGTTTTTTTTTTCAAATAAAAAGAAATTCTACCACAGCTTCAGCATTCTTAACTGGTGCATACTTGAGGGTTTTTCACTATATGAGCCTGCGGTACTGTAAGTGTTAAATGCTCTACCACAGACGCTGGTGCACCCATGTCTTCCCAGTTCCCTCAGCAAAACCACGTGAACATACTCAAAGCGAACAAATCATCATCACACAAATATCAACTCAAGTCAAAGAAACAACAGATAACCTAATCTCCCATCAATGGGCCGGTCATCTCAACCAGTGCTTGCCAACCGGGCTGCTATCACCCACTAGTGGGCCATTTGGTTATTTTGGTGGGCGGTGGGGATCATGGGGTAGAGACAAGTGTTGTTTGTGAGACATTGTGGTGAAGAAATCAGGCGCTCGTCAAAATAATGAAATTGAAAAAACTGGCATTTTTCTGCAAGTTCAGCAATTTTAATCAAATTTTGGCTTTTTCGCTCAACACCACTGTTGTCCAATTAAGAACACATTTCTGGGTGGATTTTATTGAAAAACGTTGATTAAAGGCACAAAAATGTAAGTTTTCAGTTTCTACGGACTATCAAGCTATGGAAATAACCAGAGTTTGGCGGCCATTTTCTCGCTAATCCTACCTTTGAAACCAGGCAACCCCACACTGTTCAACCTCAAATATCTTTGACTTCTATTCAAGTTAAATGGGCATTTATTTCACAGATAGCAAGACAACTGAACAAGCTTAAGGGTGATACCAATAACTTCACATGTCCAAAAAATTGACGAGCGCCCGATTCCACCATGTCATGACACATTTTATGCCTTGTCTGAAAATACATGCAGGTGGGTCATACCAAAATGTCAGCCTGTCTCGGTGGCAAAAGAGGGCCCTGGCTAGAAAAGGTTGACAAGCACAGGTGGTAAGTAATCCACTGGTCTCCCAGGTCTTTGTAAATTACGAAACCTCTACAAGATAACATTTTGAGACATCAGCACAGGAAAACATTCTTAAATTTAACTGCGCTCGTAATTCTCATATTTTAAAATTAAAACAATATTGTTTTCCAAATATTCAAGAAGCTCAACATAGTCTTACGGACACAAAAGACACAGTGACACTGCACCTCTAGCAGAAACAACCCTGTTGTCTAGTACTCTCTGAGAACCTGATACAAGACAGAAAGCTTCCCAAAGATTATCCACAACTTGTACACTCGAGAGAAATATACAGAAACCATTCAGCATATACATGAACATACATATTTACAAAGTAAAGTCAATAAAATTTACATTCATCGTCAAGTGATCAAACGTAGAGGCCGCTAGGCTTACATTCGACAAACAGCCATTTGAAATACTGCTCTGTAAACAAAGACTGCAGGAACAAAGCTGTATGTAGACAAGGCTGGTCCCAGCCATCAGCCTAGTCCTGCACTTCTAAATCTTTTGTCACAATCCACTGCCATCGTTGTTTAAAGACTCACTGACATTTACAATCAAAATTGTGTATACTCCCCCCCCCCCCCCACACACACAAACCAATTCTTCCTCTTTATCCCTCAGTTCTATTACCCTTTTGTAACACAAGCAGTAGGGCCTACTCTCGTAAAAAAAGTCAGAGCAAGTACATCCCATATACCTGACCCACAACCAGAGGCAAATCTCTTATAAAAACAACGAAGAAAAAAGTGGAACGCTATAATAAAAATCAAACATACTAATAATTTGCATCGTTTGTTTCGTAGAGGAAAAAACTGCAGTAGTAGATAGATGTAACTGACTGATGAAGCTCAGCGGCTCACCATTCGGAAGAACAACGGACTGTGTACATTCATTGTCTAGAATCTAAAATACCTAAAAAATGCTGCAATGTTGCATGAAGAGACCTTTTTTTTCTGGATAACACTAAGATACTGTTTAATAGCTGCCTCTGCACTAGTCATTCATGCTATAAAACAAAACAAAACAAAACTAGTACCACATCAGAGGTGCCACGGGGTTACCGGAAATATCCTGAACTGCCACAACCCCGTGGAAATGCATGCAAAGGAACACAAAATTTTTGTATCATATTATATAAATCTTTATCTCCAGCAAGCCACTCCCAGTGGCACGTGATTGGAACTTCTGTGCTGGGGGTCCACTGGTAGCCGCTCGGGTACAATCCTTTATGATGACTTTGATGTCAAATTAATTTTTGTCAATTAATAAAAACAGCTCTCTTTTACCGCGAGTTCTTTCATAAGACAGAAAGCTATCAAAATAGGTTCACCTGCTTTGATTCAATGACCAATTTGTGATGTGTATGTCACTTTTAGATTTCATACCAATAGAGGGCCCCAGCCCAGTGGGTTTACCCCCCCCCCCCTCTCCTCCAGAGATAAAGAGTTACTACATCTTATTTACAAGAAGTCATGCAAAATCTGGATAATTTTAGAAATCTGGCTTTGTGGAATTATTCAGATATTTGTAACCTCTGTCAAATTCTTCAAGTTCATGATATACTAATGAAATATTGCACAAAGAAAATCTAAATATCAGTCTGAGGGGCAGACCCTTCTTAGTTTGCAACTATGATACTAGAGATGTATGATACTAGAGATGTTTCACTTGTAACTATGATACTAGAGATGTTTCACTTGTAACTATGATACTAGAGATGTTCCACTTGTAACTATGATACTAGAGATGTTCCACTTGTAACTATGATACTAGAGATGTTTCACTTGTAACTATGATACTAGAGATGTTCCACTTGTAACTATGATACTAGAGATGTTTCACTTGTTACTATGATACTATAGATGTTTCACTTGTAACTATGATACTAGAGATGTTTCACTTGTAACTATGATACTAGAGATGTTTCACTAAAAACTATGATACTTCACTAGAAACTATGATACTAGAGATGTTTCACTTGTGACTGTGATACTACAGATGTTTCACACCTCCACTGACAGAATTTAAATCATTTAGGAGGCAGGCTGCTCTGATCCTGCCTGTCAGGGCAACCATCACCACAGCTGAGATGGACAAAAGGTCCCGTCAGACAAGTAGAGATACTCGCTAAAAACAACTTGAAGGGACAGAAGCAAGTATCTGGTTATACTTGAACCACAGTAGTTTTCCAACAGCTATCTCTGCTCTAGTTACCACAGATAACACGCGGGCAGTATTGCATACAGACGTAAGTCATTTTTGGCGGCCGTTGGGAGATACGTCTGTATGCAGCGCTGCCCGTGAACATCCGTCCACAAGATCACGATCCTGACAGAAACACTCCCCCAGACACATATGCCTGACTGGGCTTTTGTTTTTAGACGATGGCTGTGTCAATCGCACTGAAAAGCTATTTCTGTCACTTCCTCTGCGTCAAACAACAACTGAACAAAGGATTCAACTTCTGTCACTTTCTCTCCTTTTCCAGCATCAATCGAACAAGAACGAGATTTCTGTCACTTTCTCTCCATCCAGTCATCCACTTTTTTTTTCACGAGTCTCGTTTTACTCCTGTCTTTCGGATTCCTTTTTTTCTTTCCTCAGACGGCTCACAAACGGCTCACAACCAACAGCGTTCACTACCTCAGTAACGGGAATCTACAGCTGGGCCACTCAGACGCACAACAAAAACGAACAACTCATCTGGTCCACTCAACGCACACACACATACACAGGCCCTCAGCCGGACTGCTCGTCAGTGTATAGTATACATGGTGGCCAGTACATCTTTTGTCTGTCCTTTCAGTATATATGTATATATATATAACATATATAAGGCGAGCTGACAAAATGAGTTACTTCTCGTAATCCACAAATGGAGATATTGGCCAAAAATCGACACATGGGTCAAATTTGTAGATATTCTAACGATGCCATATTTTTTAATTATAACATGCCTTTTATTATTTCATACTTATAAATTGTAAAAACTTCACCTATAAGAGTGATGTATCTATTCCCATAAGAATAGAATCCGAGAAGTAACTCATTTTGTCAGCACACCTCTCACATATATATATATATATATAGATGTCAGGCCACAGTTTTCCACGTGAGCAGTCACGGCCATCACACCTCAAGGTGGGAATACAGTACGGTCAGTAGCTAGGTCAAGGTTACATCACGTTTTGATGACGCTCTGAAGGTCGTCTGGCAGGGTGGAGACGATGTCCTCCAGCTGTTTCTGTAGCCGCGACACGCTGTCCTTGGCCACGATCCCGTGGTGGTGGGAGGCAAACGTCTGGGGAGGGCAGAGTTTTTTTTTCGTAAGAGTTTTAAGGCACTTTCAACACAATAACGTAGCATATTGCCAATATATATAACCAATGTGTCAGAATCTGGACAATAAAGATGTATCTTATCTTATAAGGTCATATAAGTGCCGAAGATTAGAAGTGTTACGAGAGTAAAAAACGTAAAAATGAAGGAGGAGGAGATAAGGTTGATAGGAAAGAAGAAGCAAACCATAACAGAGCACCTGCCAACCACCCACAGCAGGTCATTGTATTTATAAATTATAAGTTTACATGTAACAGATGTCTCTTTCTATGTTACAACTGCTGACAGAACAGTAAAAGTCAATTTACTCCAATAGAAGCCTGGCCTTTCCATTTCTTTCTTACAAAGTAAAATACTGTTGACAGAGTTTGAGATTTTATAAATTTAAAGATGTGAGGGTTTTTTCCCAAGATGGCTGCTGTCACCATAGCAACAAGAGACACATTTGTCATGAATAACGTCCAAAATCACTAGGTACCTTAGCATTGAGTCATACTAGACTAAATTCATTTATATTGGTCTGTAAATTTAAAAATATTAAGCTCGTAAGACATCTACAGACAGACATGATATGATGAACTCACCAATTTTTCTTTGATTTTGAGAATCAGATCCACAATTTCCACTTCTTCTTTGTCTACAATCCACTCCGACAAATTCTGGAAGAATAAAGACAGGACAACTTAAACATACAACCCTGTCACTACTGACTCAAACACAGCTATACAAATATATTTTTTTTTAAAGAAAAAAAGAAAACTCATCTTTAGTTGGTTATAAAAAGAAACAACAATCCGATATCACTGTACAAGGGGGCATAATCAAAATAATTAAGATTATTTAGCAGGCGACTGCTTCGACTCTACTTATCATGGCCAACCCAGGCTGAGAGAGGAAAATTCTCCTTCCCATTCTCTAAAATAACAACTCCACCCCCACCCCCCACCCCAAACCCCCCCCCCCCCCAAAAAAAAAACCCAAACCGAAACATGAACAAGACGAGCCGGAGAGAGAGAGTGAGAGTGACGTAGGAGAAACTCACAGCATTACTCAAGGCCTCCAGATGCAGCAGCTGTAGTTTCTGGTTGACCTCTCGCTGCCGCTGGTAGTACCAGCCCTCGAAGTTGGGGGAGCGGAAGAAACGTCTGAGGAGTGAAGATACAGAGAGAAGAAAATAGAAAACAAATGAAATAGACAACACTCATATGTTTTGTTTTTTACTGCTCTTCTTTTGTGTATATAGTTAATGTATGGTTGTGAAATTTCTCCTTTATGTGGTTGAACTGGTTTTTCTTGTTTCTGTGAAATATTTTCTCTAGTGTGAATGATCATGTGATTGGTGTAAAGCACTCAGAGCTTCTACTAGTATGGGATGAAGCGCTATATAAATGCAATCTGTTATTATTACTATTACTACCAATTCAAACAGAACTATACAAATGTAAAATAAAAAAAAAAAAAAATATTTGTAAGGTAAAGCGCATAGAGCATGCTGTAGAGTGTGGATAAGCACTATGCAGATGCAGTTATCATTATCATTTGCTAGCTATGAAAAGAAAAGAAACAACAATGAGATGTAACTTGATGTTTTATGCCCCTATCAACACCATTTAGACCATTAAGTTGGCAGGTTGCTTTCGTTTTAGTAAACAAAGCAAAATCAAACACATAATTTTTCCTTTGGGCCTCTCTAGAAGAGACAAAAGTCATTTTTACTCGATTCAGGATCGGACACATGTCCCTGCAAATAAATACCTTCTTCAGGGAGATGAGAAGCTGTTCTGTGTCGAATGCGACACGGATCTTACCAAAAGAATGTCTAGACTTCGGAGAGACCCGAAGGAAATACTTCAAATGCAAAAAAATTGTAAGATCTGTTTTCCGTCGTTGATCACAACAGAATTCTCGTTTTTATAAAGACCATTGGCCTTTACGATAACTTGTTAAAACAGCTATTCTGACTTTTAGCAGGCTATCATTTTTAAACTCATTTTTCCTCAAGTTTTTAGCATTTTAAATCTGGTCGTTGACTTGAGCCAAGCCCTGCAGTGAAATGTTGTGAACGCAACCAACTTGTGTTTCGCGCGCTCATACGACCTTATCCAGTTGCGAGCGCAGTAAAACTCTTACTAAAACTAACAAATAAAACAAAATTTTTTTCACCCACTTGTAGAGGGACTCCCAGTCTCCCTTGATGCCACAGGTGAGCTGAGGGCCAGAGTGCTCCACCGTCTCCAGAAACTTCTCCGACTCAAATGGCCTCAGTTTGGGAGGTCCCTGAAGTACAAGTTTTACAGAAAAAGATGATAACGGGCGAGAATAATGTAATCATGTTTGCCCGGCCAATGACTATTCCTGTGTCTGTGCATGTATGTGCGCATGAGTGTGTGTGTGTGTTTGTGTGTGTGTGTGTGTGTGGGTGTGTGTGTGTGTGTGTGTGTGTGTGTGTGTGTGTGTGTGTGTGTGTGTAAGAGAGAGGGTCTGTTGAAGTATGCATAGAATGTATTTACCATGCAGCAGCAAATTTTTTTTTGTGGAGCAAAATGTTATCTCACCTGTCTCGTCTTATTTTATGAAATTATCACAGTGGGGAGTAAACTACAAAGAACCAGATGACCATATGTGCCGTGTACTGGCCTATTCTTACCTCCACACTGCCCATCAGCCCACAATCGCCTCAGATCACGCATTTTTTACAGGAACTAAATTCTTATTTTAGAAGACTAAACCTCCATATCATTTGAACGATCCAAACAAATGTAACCATAAATAAATCGAAAACAATTTAACCCGATGCATGGAACTGCACATCATATCAGAAAAATGGTTATCTTAGAACTATCCAACAATGATAGTCTCTGTCTCAGCTTTTCCTTTGCTTTACGGAATTTAGCAGTGAAAAAGCAAAGGCATAAAAGAACCAAGTTGTTTTTTAAAATGATGAAACTTAGAGAAGAGAAGGCCTACCTTGTGTGGAGAGATGTTCCTCTGTAGGGGCATCAGGCTGGCCATGTACCGCTCCTGTAGATACAAATAAAAAGAAAAAGGTTACACCAGGGGCTCCTTAACCGTGGTGCATGCATCGACCACTGAGGGCGGGGTGAGTTCTTCCCAGGAGGTTTGTGATGTGTCTCTTAAAGTCAAAACTAGAGTACTTTTTGTTCAAGTAAAATCTGATGGTGGTGGAAAAAATCGGAAGCATCTGTCTCAACGCGTTTTGAAATAAATACATCTGTTCATTAGTTGTTATCAGTACAATATTACACTATGAACGTGATATTTTAAGAAGCACTGTTATGGGTGTTGTAGTATAATTCGGGCTCAGATTGTGTCTTGGAAAGTGGTTGGTTCATAGAGATCTCTACAGGAAGTTCACAAGGGAAAAGGTTAGGGAAAAACCATTAATTTCTACATTGCCACAATCTAGACTTTAGGAGGCAGGCTTCTCTGAGCCTATTTGTCAGGGCTAAAATCAATGTTAATGGGATATGGCACCCGCTCTTTTTTTTTTTAGCAGAGATTTTATGGCGCTTGCACCTGCATAAGGTTATTTGAGCGCCAGAAGATTAGAGGTGTTACAAGAGAGTAACAAACATAAAAAAGAAGAAGGGGAGATAAGGATGACAGATGTTTGATAGGAAAGAAGGAGCAAACCACACCAGAGCACCCGCCAACCACCCACACACCAGCTCTAGACTCACCAGAGGGATCATGAAGCTCTGTGTGACCTCCAGGAGGTAGCGGCGGAGAATGGCATTCTGGGCCTCCACCGGACGCTTCAGCTGAGCTCCCTGAAATTAGCAATGTTATCAGTGACGGAAGAATTTTTAAAAATATGGTCCTATCATTTAAGTCAGACTCTAAACATGAGCGTGCATGAATATTGAATTTCAAAGTAGTAGAAAAATATGGATTTCTAGCTCACATCAGCCAGAATTGCTCAAAATTTTGTTTAGAATGTTTTTGTTTTAAAAAAAAACATATTACAGTATGTGAAATTGTATTCAATTGTATTTTATGCTTGTGATAAATGCAGTTTTTAATTTTCTTTTCATTATAAGTAATAAAGTAGGTGTTTTCACATCCCCATCAACACAATTTAGACAATTCAGAAGGCGGGCTCACGACCCTGCCTGACAAGGCCAGCCGGGCTGAGTAATTAAAACGCAGATCAACGAAAGCAATTCAACTCAAGTCCACAAGAACAGGATATATTATAACCAACCCAAATACCTTCATCAGACGCTTGAGAATGGCTTTGTCCTTGGTGAGGAAAGACTTGTACCTGGTGTAGACACCTGAGGACACAGAGAACCACACAAAGACCGTGACAAAGACACCAACAGCTGCCCGGCACACTCACACATGCTCACAGATTTTTTTTTCCTTTTCTTTATCTTAATCCTAGGTGTTTTTACACCCCATTCAACACAGTTTAAATCATTTAGGAAGCGGGCTTCAACCCTCCCTGCCTGTCAGGGCCAATCCGAGCTGAGAAGGATACAACATCTCAGCAGAAACACTGAGATCCTCAATAAAAGTTTTCCCCTATCGAGAATCGAACTGTTCTCTACCGTGTACCATGACCAAGTGCCTAACAGCTACACCACTGATGCCAGTCTCACAGCTCCGTCAGACTTGGAAATAAAAACATGTGTGAAACAATCAGTCACAGCAAATATGTGACTTTGAACACGTAGGCATTAGTCATTCCCTTTCTTCATTTTACTGTACAGATATTTTTCGTCTGCGCCCCCATCAAAACAATTTGGATTATACATTGTAGGAGGCAGGCTGCCTCCATCCTGCATGTAAGGACCAACATGCTAATTCAGATACAGCATCTCAGCAAAAGACAGAGCTACTCAATAAAATAACTTGTGTGCTTATTCAACTACTAACATTTTCTTGACCATACACATGTCCAGTCAACAGAATCTTCCTACAATAAAGCACTGCGACTGTGTTGGAAGCTGAACTGGGAGGATGGTCAGCAGGACATTGAGCAAAGACTAAAGTATAAAAAGTTGGGCTTTCTGACATTAAATGCATTGATGCAAAAGTATAAGGTCACCGAAAAAAATCTTTGCTGGACACTCTTGAAGAAATAAATATCACATTAAATTCAAATATTTCAACCAGTTGAGACATAATCAGAGCAGTACAATACACCAATACTACGCCACAATATAACAATAATAATAATAGTCATAGTCACAAAGATACAACACACATACCTTGAACTATGAAAGCACACAGATACAATATTGATATTTTCAAGCAGTAAACATTACGAATCAGAAAGTTTAATAAACAGTTGCGTTTGTAATTTTGCCATACCCAGATTACAAATAAGTTGCTTATTTTTTGTTGGTTTCAGTAAAGAAAAACACACTGACACAATAAAGATAATTAAATGCTGGGACAAAGCAATACAGGCAGACAGAAATAAAAGTAAAGAAAGAAGAGAAATAGGATTTATCAATGGTGCACTCAAACACCCGTGATTACATGTAGCAGAAAAAGACATTAATTTTAAAAACACACGTTGTTTAGTCGAAACTCTAAGTCACACTCTTGAGTTTATCAATGCAGTACAGTGGACTCGATACAACCATTCATCATAGTTGAGGACAAGGAAAAAAGGGGTTGTCTTACAAAGGTGGCTTCTTGGACAGGGTCATTATAATTTTTTATTTTTTTTAATTGAGTGTTTTACGGTGCTCGCAACTGCACAAGGTCATATGAGCGCTCAGGGGTCTTAAAATGTCTTTGTAAAAACAGCAGGGGAGAAAGTGGGAAGTGGTTGTCTGTACAAGTGAGTGTCTTGGACAGGTGGTAGTTAGTGCAGGTTCCACTGTACTAAAATAACCATCGTTTGAGAGGAATCAAAGTAAGAGTTTTTTTGAGCACACTAAAAACTACATTATGAATTAATATTTTTAATTTAATGAAATTTTAACACATTTATTTGTAAAAACAAAATAGCTCATCACAAGTAAAAAAAATGAGTTTCAAGAATGAAAACGTCAAGTTCTGATAATCAATGATAAAACAGCGCAAAAAAAAAAAAGCAATCCACAACACCAGAGCAGGAGAAAAGTCCACAACCAAAAGATGTGAAGTTTTTGGGTACAACGACACATCACTGACCTAAGTGCATATTATATTGCAGAAAAAACCCAAAACTCCTTGCTCGTGCAAAACATTAGATAACCACGTCAAAAGCACATTCTCCTTAACAAAGATAAAAACTTTATAGCAAAAATACTGAACACACAGGCTTTTTTAAATAATACTTCGCACCTTTTTCTGAAATACAACAAACAAACAAACAAACAAATATACAGGAATGGAAAAACAGGAACTTAAGAGAGGCGCAAGACTGCAGAGAAAGTTTCCTCCTCCTGGTAGTCCTAGTTGTATAAATCAATCAGAGCAAAAGACCAAAGTATCTCCCATACCCTTTCACAAAATAGACACCATTCAAGTGTTGATATCACAGCACAGTTTTACACTCTTCAAAATAACATCAAGAAAACTGAACCTTAAAGCAACAATCACACACTTCAAGGAACACGACATGTTGTACTTAACACACAAACTTGACGTCTACCATCCAATCCCGCACTTTAGCAAGTCTGACAGAACAGTCCACACACAGGCACAATATCAGTCTCTCGTCCCTAATCATATTTACAGTTTGTAATCCCTATATAAATTAACATTTTTATCCATGACTAGAATGAAATCAAAAGTGTCCATAAAAGACAGACAGTTTAACAAAATGCATTGAATTTTTGCTTTTGACAGAATTTTGATAGGAAGAAACAGAGAGGAAATTGGAGGGGGGGGGAAGGATGGGGGGAAAGGGGACTGGGAGATAGACAGACCTATGGAGAGGGGGGGGAAGAGAAAGAAGAAAAAATCCAGCATACAAGCACAATAGAAGAAAAATATTTAAAACTATAAATGTATGGAAATCTAAACAAATAATATTCTTTCCAAAGCTTTACACTTTGAGCCTTGACCTCTGGAGAGCAAAAGACTTTTCTTCCCAAGATCTAGGCCAAGATATTTCAATGTGTACACATTCCTCGTCGGGGAATAGGAAAATACCTTGTGAGTGGAGTCACCTACAAGCTGGTGCTGTGTGCTGTGAAGTGAGCAGTGTGTGCTGTGTGTTGTGTGCTGTGTAGTGTGTTAGCCCTGCCCTCCACACCCATAGCTCCAAAATGTAAATATATGTAGGAAAAGGCAAACCATAGTAATAGGTAAAATAATATCAGACCGTTTCTTCAGATCCGTGTTGAATGTTAGGATTTACAGTAGTTGGGAGTTTCTGGTTGCAAATGTTAGTTTGAAATAGCAGTTATCAGATCACAGAGAGGCACACACAAGAGAAAAAACTACGGGTGAAAGTACATGGGGCGAGAACAGCCAAAGATAACAACTGACGCTGTCAGCTCTGACACACTTTTCTCACTAGAAACCATGATGAAGCTACAGCCAAACATCGGTGATTTATTTTTATCATTATAGCCATCGATCATGGGGAAATCTCGAGGAAGAAACTGGCTGTGGGAGGCGCTTCTGGCTGGGGGGAGACTCTAGGACGGAATTTTTTTTTCCTGCCTGTTGGGCTGGAGTGGACAGTAAGAGTTAATAAATGCAAATGGTCTTTTGTGCATGATGTCACAGCCGCTGACACGTGGTCCAACAGAGAGTGGAGACCCCACATGTGCATAAGAGTTCAAGAATGTTCCAAACGGGGGGTGGGGGGCGCTTACGAGTATTTTTGTATTTTTATCATTTCATCCACCAGTGAGAAAGACATTTGCGTCATTCACTGTGACATAAAAAGAGATAATTCTACTCTAGGCTTGCCAACTTTTTCAAAATCAAATCAGGGACAGCAAAGGTTCAAACATCAGATTATCTACCAACAAAGAAGGTTACATCAAGTAGGACGGGTCCTGGTTCAGTGTAGGACATTCACTGTAATGTGTCCTCTCACATTCCCCACTGCCGAAACCCGGACAGCTGACTTGCCTACTCTTTCAGAATGAATTAATGCACCGTCGGGATATGGGAAAAAGCCTCTAATTGTCTGGCACGAGGAAACAGCTGACGACTATCACGGACAGCTCAGAATCCCTTGGTCCTGTTCTCTTTGCCTATATAAAGTACCGCAAGCTACACATATTTCATCTAGTTCCTTTCATGCCGATATCAAGCAGCTGGTTTAATTAAAAACTCAAAAGTGCACATTTTACACCAGATTTAGCAAAAATAACTGCAGATAGTAAAAAAACCAAGTACTTAAAGCAGACCAAAAAATTACAAAAGAGGGAAAAAAGACAAGAGAAAAAAGAAATAAGGTGATTAAAAAGATACAAAATGTTCTACAAAATGCAGTCAAATGGCCAAGAGGTTCTACTGACAACAACAACAATGCATGACTTATAGAACCTTATGGCACTGGGCCAACAATGCAAAATATATTGGGATGTATCTTCCACAAATTAACTCTTTAAACCCTGAGTTTTTCCACCGTTTCCTGAAGTTTTTTCAACAGTCACCTAAACCTGGTGCACTGTCTCATTATAACCCCAAAAGTTTGCCCCCAACTTCTAAATGGCAGAAACAAAGGCTTAGTCATAACTTTAAAAACTTGGATCGCGAATAGTACTGAAAAACAAGCAAAAAACTTGCGCTAAATAAAACGAAACAGATGTCAATGGTATCGGACGCTCCCAGTGTCCAATGGGGAACAGGGTTATTACCGTCGGACGCTCCTAGCGTCTGATGGGGGTTTAAAGAGTTAATGTTGGACAAAATGCCAGAAGTGAAGAGGGCTAAGTCAAAGCAGCGGCACACTGAACGGACAGCACATGTCCATCATAGAGAGAAACACACCGATGATACGACGATACTCATGCCACAGCCGGGGGACTGTGTAACACACGTGTTGATGACAAACCTGGATTGGAGTCCAGAGTCTTTAGCGCGGCGGCCTTCTTCACTTTGTTGGCCAGTTTAGGCGAACTCCCTTGAGGAAACATTCACAACACAAGTCTTTTACTTCTCACTCCTTGCTACAGTTTGTGTCACGACGCGGTGGGATCAGGCGCTCGTCAATTTTTTGGGCATACTAAGTTAATGGTATTATCTTAAAGGTTGTTCATTTGACTTGCTTAAAATGGAAAAAAATATCCATTTATCTTGAATTGAAGTTGAGATATTTGTGATTGAAGGAGGTGGATGTCGCCTGGTTTCAGAAGTAAAATTACCGAGAAAATGGCAACCAAAGTTTGGTGACTTCCACAGCCTAAGAGTCCTTGGAAATAGCAAATTTACATTTTTTGTCCCTTTAATCAACGTTTTCCCATAGAATCCACACATCAAAGTGTTTTTGAATGGACATATAAGGTGTTGAGGTCCCAAAAAATAATTTGAAAAAAAATTTCCGAACTGACCGAAAAATGCTGATTTCTCAGATTTCATTATTTTGACGAGGGTCTGATTTCACCACGAAGCCTAATTATTATTTTTCTACACTAAAGCAACAACAGTTGGGATGAATCTTTGATGCAGTACTTCAAACTTGGCCAGAATTATACAGGTAAAAATAAATTTAGCCCCCCCCCCCTCCCCCGTATTCTTAAATTCTTAAAATATGTTAAATGCGTCTTCGTTCACGACATCACAGCCACTCATATGTGGCCCCACAGAGAGCACATCCTGGATGTGTGTACAAGGTCAAATAAGTTACATTTGGGGGCTCAAGTTTACTTTTTTATCATTTCACTCGCAGGGGCAAAAGACCAGGAAACGGATATTAGCGTCATTCGTAGAGACCAACAAAAAAATGGGTGATTCTACTCTTTCAAAACAAAATATTAAGACAGTCTAAAACTCACAGATGGATTTTTTCCCTTCAGGTTACCACAGCACAACGTTTAAAAAAACATATTTATTTCATTTTAGGCAAGTGTCATAAAAAATGTGTAGTTCATAATTAAGTAACTTCGAAGACAAAAGATACATATTTCAACCCCCCAAAAATGAAAACAGACCTTCTTCATTATTCTCAAAGTGAAAAGATTTAAAACGAAAAAATAACACCTATTTACAGGCAAAACAAACCTCAATGACAAAAACCCCAAGAAAGAAACTCTTCAAACATAAAGGAAAGAGAGAGGTAATACCACATGCAAGTTTCCAATTAAACTCGAGCACTATGCGAAACTTTGGCATTTCAAAACTTGAAAATATGTGGCAACAGAAGAAAATAATATTGTAAAAATATAACTTAGAGCATAATAACAAAACTGTACCAGTCTTATGTGAGTAAACAGGCACTGGAGAGAGACACATTGGTGGTTTAGGTGATTTACATTAGTAAATTGACTAAACCTCTTTGGATTAAATCAATCAAGAACCGAGGGTGGCTTAGAAAATTGCTTAACCATATTTTGTCCACATGAAAAATATACTAAAGAATTGCAGAACCATATTTCATCAGCATGACAAATATTTTTTAAAATTGCTTAACAATTATAAATAAAACATTTTTTTTTCCCAATGACATATTATTTTCTTCACAAATCATATCTGCTCCTTTCACACAAACATGATCCTACACATAAAGTCATCAACATTTTCCACAGGCACTGCCAATGTACATGGACAACCCTCCAAGCAGCAAAGTCCCCGCAAAGCAAGATGTGAAGAAACACACTCCCTCTCAGCTAGGGCTTGTAGCACTTGACTCATTGCTCTCAAAACATTATAGAATTTAAATAAAACTAGTAAGAAGGGCCTTGACACATTTTTGCATCAGAAAACAAGTAAACCGAGAAAATAATAATAATAATGGGAATTATTATTAAAAATAAAATTCTGTGAAGACTTCACTAATCACCAAGCCTGCAAAACATTCATGTTCGTAAGTTCCTTTTCAGATACTCCTTAATACAAAAGTGAAAACTTCATTGGCCACTCGCAAAATAAAATGAGTTGGGGGGGGGCGCGGTAATAAAGGTGTAAATAAACCAAGGGCACTGAAAAACTTTCAAGAGTGCCACCATCAATTTTTCTACAAAATGAAGGATGTTAAAAAAGGTTTGGGGGTTGTTGTTGTTTTTTTTAATCTATGTATTGCTTATTTTAAATGATTTTACAGCTCAGAGCTTGTTTCCTAATAAAACAGAGCGCTGTTTAATGCTATTCATTTACTATCATTATGTTAGAGAGGTGTTTACCAAGAGAAAACAAACCTTTCCCAGAATGTACAAGTTTCAGGAGTGCTACAAACCCTGCACTAAGTGTCCCCAGAGCCCGTCTGATCGTCCGCCAATTTCCCCACAAAATCGCACAAAAAGAGAAAGAAGCATAAACCAAGCAAACAGTACACCTACCTATTGATCCCATTTCCCCGATGCGGATGATGTGAGGCCAGTGCTGCAGAGTTTTGGCAAAGAAAGGGTTGGTCACCCCAAGGATCACCGGAGGGCTGATGAAAAAAACCCAATATCATTTGCATTACAAATACCTATAGAATACTTCCACAGAGATGATAAAGGAGTACTTTCCAGCCTGGGCTATATCGGCCACCAGAGGGTGATTCAGTAAATTTGGGGGCCGTTAGGCATCACCCAGGTAGTGACAGGTATTATCTAATGCCCTGCTTGGAAGTAGATGTTGGTGGGTGGTATTAATACATGGTCAACTCTATGGTCAACTTCTAATAGGTGTTTCGCTCTAAGGTCAATTTCTAATACACATGTCACTCTATGGACAACTTCTAAAACAATTATCACTCTATATTCAACTTTTAATAGGTGTGTGACTCTATGGTCAACTTTCAATTGGTGTGTCACTCTATGGTCAACTTCTAAAACAATTATCACTCTGTGGTCAACTTCTAATAGGTGTATGACTCTATGGTACAGAAAGAAGGTCAGAAATATAACATGAAAAAAAAAACAACAAGACACAAACATATCCATGATAACAGTCACAAACTGTGTAAATACAAAAATTACAACTCCTGAGGAAAACAGAGCGTGAGTATAATACATGCTAGACAAAAGATACAGATACGTTTTGCACCACTGTCATATTTCATATTTTCGCTCCTTAAACTTGCATTTATATATACCAACATAGAAATTATGCAAAAACATTTCCAAGTGATTTTTCAAACAAAAATAACTTGGTCTTATTTTGGACTTGTATGATTTGCGACGACAGCGTCAATATACACCAGGATAAAATTCACAAGTGTGTGTACAGCCACAGCTGCTGTGTTGCCGCAAAACTTACGGAGCCTGCGTCTTTGTCGTGTACTCCTTGAACTCGCTGTCGTGAATTGTGAAATACGGGCGGAAATCACTGCAGAATTTCAGTGGAGCAATCATACTGGGGAAAAATAAAACGAAACCATTACATGGAAATCTGCTCATTAGACTCGCAGTTACTGTATTATTTCAAAATTACGCGTGCAAACTTTTAAAACATTTGAGGAGAATTTTTAAAAATTACCTAAGCCCCTTTTCGGTGTGTCTTTAAAACAGTAACGAATATCACCAACATCCTTCCACATTCGTATGCCGTAAGTCATATCTTACTTGACCATAAAGCACACAACCCCAGGAAGTTACATTGCTGTTCTCTCCTAACTTCACACGAGAGAAAACTTTTTTTTCTTTTTTGGGGGACATCCTGCGACTAAAACGAATAATAATATATCCCTGTGACTAAGATGCATAAGAATATATCTATTTGGATTAAGACAGGCTAGAAAATTGCAATTTTGCTTGATTTGATTTGATAGATGTTTTTTGGCACTCTCAACATTTTAGGTGATATAAGTGCTGAAGATTAGAGTTACAAAATAGTAATAAACATAAAAAAGAAGGCAGGTAGGTAACAAAGGATGCCAGTTAACAGTGATACAAGAATAAAAACAAAAATCGCAGAGGTACAAGTGGTTAAAAAAAATGAAACGATGAGTGAATCCCCCCCCCAAAAAAAACAACAAAAAAAACAACCCAATTTGCAATAACGAAAACCACAATGAAAGGACTGGTTATCACTGTCAGATGAGCCACGTACTTGACTAGAGCTTGCACTGTGTGGCAGGTGACCGTGGGAGAAGAGGCCATCACTACAATCGGCTGAGGAACAAACAGAAGGGGGGGAAAAAATTAAAACTTATTTTAAAAATATATATAATTTAAAAAACACTACAATTTGAAAAATCTAGGCATTAAAAAAACAAAAGTAGATCTCGATGCTCCACTCTTAAAATAAGTTTATAAAAAAAAAAGCAATGGACGGCCATCCTGGACAATTTTGATTGTACATCAATGACCAGAGGACACACATACACTCTCCCTCTCTCTCTTTCACACACACACACACATACATACAGACAGGCACACACTCTTTCTCACACACACAGACAGACAGATAGACAAACACACACACATACGCACACACACTCACCTCTCCTATAAGCACCAGCTACCACAGAAGCTGGATATGAGGTAGTAGAGTGAGAAATGCACTGAAAGAGGCAGACACATACACGACACACACACAAACACACCCACCCACACACACATACATACAGACACTCACACACACACACTCACCTCTCCTATAAGCACCAGCTCCCACAGCAACTGAACATGAGGTAGTATAGTGAGAAATGCACTGAAACAGGCAGAGGCAAATTGAGTTTCTTCATTTTTGTTACGGTTTTACAGCATTTACCACACAAATAGGTCATGTAAGTGCTGAAAATTATAGGTGTGACTGCTGGAGAGTGACATAAAAAGAAAAGAAGGAAGAGGGATGAGGATGATACGGTGCAGCCTCTCTATAACGACCTTCGATATAACAACATCCTCTGTATAGCGACATGGTGCCCTGGTCCTGATTTTTTTCTTTATATTTCATTTGAAATTTTTGGTTGCCTGTCTACAACGACAACTCTCTTTAACGACATTTTTTTCTGGTCCCGACGATGTCGTTATAGAGAGGCCGCACTGTAGATGTTTGCTAGAAAAGAGGGAAGAGAGATGAGAATGTTAGATATTTGCTAGAAAAGAAGGAAAGCGAGATTAGGATGATAGATGTTTGAAAGAAAAGAACGAAGAGAGATAAGGATGATAGATGTTTGCTAGAAAAGAAGGAGAAAACCGCACCCCAGCACCCGCCACAGTCAGCTTGATAGGGAACTTCATGAAAACCAGCGGTCGTCACGTCTTTGATGAAAAGGGAGTTATGCAAAATTAACCTTTATCTAAGTAAAGAGAATCACATCGACACAATAATAACTGTCATTCAGTGCTGAGGAAGGACATAGAAAACTGTCAAGAAGCTATCCCAAGATAAGACACAGTGGAGAGTGTTTGTTGCTGGCCTACATCCTGATGATGATGATGATGATCGATGATGATGATGAAACTGTTCTGTGGAAAAATCCAAGTTAGACAGAGAGAAAACTGAAGGACAGAAGAAAAAAAAGTAGCACCAGTGGTGCCCTCCAACCACCCGTAACAAAATCAACCATCGTCACGCATACAATGCACGGATATGTTGGTAACATCCAGGGTATAGAGTCATCACCAGGCATGCTCCTACCACTCACTGACAGAGCCCATATAATGTACATTTCTCATTCTGATATGTTACCTATGAGGCAGACACAAAACGTTCCAGTCTGAAAAAGAAGACAACAGTACGAGGGCTGCCTGCTCCAATTTTGTTTTGTAGTGAAACATTATGTACACAGGGCAAGAAATATAAATGTGAAGCCCAAACACTGTTTTTAAAAAAATTGATCATCACATATAATCTTTCTACAACAAATATGATTGAAATTTACAGATATGTAATAAAAATAACAATTTGTCAGGATGGAAATAACAAGTCCCATTTTTTAAAATCTATTGGACAAATAATACAGTTATTTCCACTACAAATTCCACTCCCTAAAAACAAAACAAAAAAATACAACAGATCAAAGTATATGTAGACAAAGGTGAGATTAAGCAGTGATACAGCAGTATTTACTTTTCTTAAATGTACTACTCTATTGTTTCCTAAATGCTGACTGAAAACTGTCACAGTTAGTTCTATTTTATCCACAAGAAGTTGTTTTTTTTTTTACATTCCCATCAACTGAAGAGACCACGGGAAAAAACATTGTAATAATACAGACTGTAAAGCACATAGAGCTTGCAGTTGAGCGGGTATCAACACAAAAAATGTAATTATCTATTTGTTCAAATTCTTTCAGGAAATTATGCGTTGTCTAAAAGAAATGCCACGCCTACTGCGCTGTGCTCACCTGTAAATATCCACTTCGTGAAGTGACGGCAGTATCGTGTGAGCTGGGACAGTGTGCTGTGATTACACGTCAGAAAGATAAACAAAAAAGAAGAAAAATGAGTCCAGTAGGGTGACAGTCACAGCAAATAGATCCATGTACAGCATATAACTCACAACACGCGATGGAAACAGCCTTACACGGTAACATGAGCATGAGATCAATTAAATACTGACAGCAGTTGAAATACAACCCAAACCTACAAAACCACTGTTGTTTGTATACTCTCAGTCTTTCTGACAATTAAAAAGAAAAAAACACACCACAACAGACACTTGGCCTAGAAATGGCTGAGAAAGGAAAATAAACAGGATCACAATAAGTATTATATGCTCTTATTCCCCAATTCAAAGTCCACAACATGGCCATAGTCTATACTTATTTGGTGCTAGTGCCAGGACAAAGCAACACAGACAGAAATAGTAAAGGGAAAGAACAGAAGTAGGACCAACCTGTAACACCCTCAACCCACCCACAAAAAATCAGTATTCATAAAGGAATCCAAATGTAACAAAGTAGAATGATGAATAACACGGTGAAGACCTTCACACGGGGTTGGAACTCCAAAATGACAACACAGGGAGGAACCATAAATGTGAGGTGTTCTGACAAAATGAGTTACTTCTCGGATTTTAGCCTTATGGAAATTGATACATAAACATTTGTAGGTGGAGTTTGTACAGTTTGTAAGTATGGAATAATAAAAGACACAGTGGGCTTGAACAAAATGGCATCAATTGACAATCTACTATAAATCTGATCCAACTGTCGATTTTCGGCCAATATTGCCATTCTTGGATAGCGAGAAGTAACTCATTTTGTTAGCACACCTCATAAATGATGATCAGCTCCTTCAAGAGAGTCAAACAGTGGTCCCCGAAATGACAACTTGCTCACTATAACGACCCAGTTTTGGGAAGCACATACTCCTATTTATATCTCAAAGTCCTTTTATTCATATACCTGAATCCTTCTACCTACATCTCAAAGACCTTTAATTTATATATCTGAGTCCTTCTATTTCTATCTTCAAGTCTTTCTATTTGTTTCTCCAAGTCCTTCTATCTGTGTCTTTAAGTCACCCCCTTCCCTCCCCCAAACCCAAACTAAGACACATTTAACATCCAACAAAAGCAGTAGGTGTTATTTGTTAATTAGGGACCACAGCATCATCTTACAAGGAGAAAGCCACACTAAACAAGGTAGAGGTTAGGGATACAATTTGTGCAGGGGTCGAAATGCTCATTACCAAGAATTTACAGACTATTGAAGGAAAGAAATTCACACAGAACATTTGCCACCTCCCTCCCCCAAAACAACAACAACAACCAAACAAACAAAAGAAAAAACAACAACCCACAACCCATTTACATGTGTAGTTATAGCCAGAGTTCTTTGGTCTCGATACTAACACTTAACACTGAGGATACATAACTTTTTTTTTAAAATGAAAAAACCAAAAAAAACCCCACCCAACCAGAGCAAATTTCGCCATGGAAAAAATGTTAAACAGAACAACAGTTCCTTGACTCGATAAAAAGCAAGTTTATACAATTTTTTATGCAGTTGGAGGAAGACAAGATAATTCGTATTACTGAAGAAAGGAACAGAGAAGTCAAAGGAGTAAACCACACCAGAGAATGTACGTACTCACACCCTTCAGGAAAGGAGAACATTGTTAGATTACATGCTAAAATGATTTCTACAAATAAAAACACTGTGATATAAGGCAAATACGTTACATAGAAATTGACGAACGTACTTTATTAAAGAGTTGCCAAATCACAATGCAGGTGAACAAACCTATGTCAGCATAGATGTTCACACACACACATACACACACACACACTCACATACACACGCATACACACACAAAACACATAATATGAGCCATAGTCAAAAGTTAAAAACCCATAGGGTGGGAGGAGGGAGTTGTAGAAATTTAATGTAAAAGAATAGCTAACGCAAAGACAATTTTACCTAAATCATGCAATTATGACTTCTTACTTCACTGGGTAAAGTGCAAAATCCAGAGAGAATATTTGAGTGACTGTGGTAAGATTAAGGCTTTTACCAGTGTTTCCGATTATTCCGTTCTGTTCTATATATAATTCTCTTATTCTCCTAAGTCATCTGAAAAGATACAAGTCTTGACTTTCGAGAAGGGGACAGGTTTATAAACGGTTTTGGTAAGTGCAAAAATTGGGAAACAAGCCAAAAAAGAAGAGCAAAGAAAAACTACGGCATGCAACAGAAAGAGTCTGACATACCAGCCTCTAGTGCAGGTGAGAGGAAATAATGAAACACTTTACACTTAAATGGTCAGCATTGATTTATGTAGCATGCCCCCAGCACAAACTTTAAGCAGACAGAGATACTGAACACAGTTTGATGGCTGGGTGCAAGACTCTGACAATCGGCAAATTGCCTAATGGCATCTGTTGGAGTCGTGCATACAGCCATCTTGTTAAACGAAAGAAAAAAGCTGATTTTTCTAAAAATCTTAATACTGGCAAAAGTTGAAAATGCCTTCCCCCAGTTTGGAAACTTTATTATAGCCACTACCAATAATATACTGTTGAAGTTGCAAGAAAATCCCACAAAGTTTGTATAAAACAAAACCTCAACCCTAGAGGCCTCCAGTATTGAGGTTTTGCAACAACATATTTTTGGTATCATGACTAAACACCAGAGACTGCAAAAATTTCTAGAGCTCTTACATTGCATTAGGTTAAGTCAGTCGCTGTCTTTATCTTGTCTCATCTTCTCATATACAGGACAACATTGTGGAATACATTAAGGGAATAATTTTTCTGAATGCAAGTGACCTTTCCAAATCAAATTGCTTCATCCTTATTATGTAAAAAATAAGCAACCCCAAAAAAGTCAAAAGTCCTATAACTAGATATGTTTTAAATATGTGTTACGACGCTGTGGAATTGGGCGCTCGTCAATTTTTGCGCATCTGCATCTGTAGTTTTTGGTATTATACTAAAGATAGTTCATTTGACTATGTTTCTATGAAAATAATACACATGTACCTAAAATAGAAGTTGAGATATTTGCGATTGAAAGAGGTCGGGGACGCCTGGTTTTAGAGGTAAAATTAGCGACAAAATGGCCGCCAAAGTTTGTTGATTTCCAAAGCTTGAGAAACCTTGGAAAGTGAAAATTTACATTTTTTGAGCGCTTAATCAGTGTTTTTCAGTAAATCCACGCAGAAATATCTTTCTGAATGGACATAAAAGGTGTTGAGCCAAAAAACAAAAATTAGAAAAAAATTGTCAAACTGGCGGTAAAATGGCGATATCTTCTATTTCATTATTTTGAAGAGTGCCTGATTTCACCACAATGCTCCACATATGTTTTATCGAACTAGCACTTCATTTCTTTCCCAAGGTCACTTATGGTGTTCATTTCCCCTTTGACTTTCCAGTTTGTTACGACCACAACATTATAATGTGATTAGAAATACAGTACGCCACAAGCATATCATTCTGTGAGTGCCTTGCAGAACATAGAGTAACGCAATTTGAGAGCACAGTTGAACTTCGTCTATGAACTCTAGCAGTGAGTATGTGGGACAACATTCCAGTCCACATTATCTAGCGTTCTCACCCCATGCTCTGATCTGGTCTGTGCGGGACCTATCAGCTTGTCTGATCGACTCGGCACTCGTACCTACATCACCAAAATGGGTGGCAGAAACACAAAATGAAAAACTCAAGAAACAAAAGAAAAACAATTGCAAAAACAAAGAAAACAAAACATTCAACCTACGACAAGAGCACAACATAACCACCTAGTTATCTAATGTGCATAGACGCATAGACCAGTGGAGATGAACATTTTACAATGGAAAATCAAACAAAAGGAACAGCTATATATAAATGGTTTTCCTTTTTCAAACAAAACTAGAAATATTTGCTCTCAATGGCACCTTATTTTAAGCACAGATACCTGATACGTACTTGCATTTCTGATTTCATTGTAATAAAAATTTTTTACAAGGGCAAAATAATAGTTAATAGCACTAAAGCAGTATGTGGAAATTATTTTTTAGTTTGTTATAATCTGGAGATTTGATAAGACATTGAAACATTATTAGAAATTAATGAGCTTTGAAGTAGCACAAGTTGTATTAGAACTAAAACAATAATTACAGGTTTATATGAGGAAAATCAATACAAATAGATGATGGCAAAGGAACAAATACAGTATAACAAATGTCCCACAATCAGCAGTCCAGAGAAGGAAGCTGCTAGAAACACAGAGCAAAACAAGCATAAAAAATATATATACATTATTACAGCCAAAAAATTCCCCAAAACGACGAAGTGAAACAGCAAAATAAAAAAACCCCAACAACAGCTGAAATAATGGGAAAAAGAAAAAGAGGGTTACCTGCAGGACAGTGCCCATGATGGGCAGGTTGAGGGTGTCACCTGGCACGGGGATTGGCCACTGATCTATGTCATGGCAGGCTACGGGAGAAAAGCAATCGTCCAAATTCGTTTAAAAGACAAGAAAATCTCATTAGGTGAAAATGAGATGCATTAAGCTCTGAAAAGTACACGCTAAAAATGTTCATAAATGGTTACCCTCCATTGACAAAAGTCTGGCACCGCGCCCACATTTTCAGTGGAAGAAATCATAATTTTTTTAATGACTTGATGGTGAATAAATCAATCGCACAAAATCTTACCTCTTTAAAGAAACATGCAGCTTCACTACGACTTATGCCCCATTTTGACAAGCTACGTGATAAATATACATGAAAATGTGCCTATTGCAAGTAATCTTATATAAGTTGAACACCCAGTTGAACTAGAAAGTTTTAAACATGTATAAAAATATTAATAACTTGAGTTTTCATGAAATTCAATTCAACTTACAGCTGAAAAGAAGAAAATTTACAAATGTACAAGACCCAAGAACAAAAGACTTGCAGGCATTCACTATTCAGCATAATGAATTGTTGCCATCAGTCATAAATGCCATATATGTCAGTCTGAGGGGTTTTCATAAAAGGGAAAAACTGTTTTATTTCCCCTTGGACATTATCTTAATCGAAATCCATTATCATTTGAAAAGGACAAAAGAGACTAAGCCCAATTGATCAAACTCTACAACATACTTGATTTTCTTTTCTTTTTTTTTTCTCTTCAAATTCTGACGGACTTCAACGTTGAATGAAGGTGACAAAATGCAATCCTTCTAAATTATCAAAAAAGATTACGGTGATACCCACTTACCTGCCTCAAGACTAGGTTCCCCGTTGTCAAAGTACTCTGGGGCAATAATGCTGATGATTTGATTGAACAAGGCCACAAACGGCAATTTTGTCACAAGGACCACCGACTGGAAAAAAAATACACCTCAGTTAAACATTAGGAGAGAACATTCTCTACATTTATGTCAGTTACTAAATAATCCGTAGCTCTGATTCTTCTCATCTTTTCGTGCTCAAAGAAATCAACACCAAAATGTATTATTCAGCAAAACATTTGGCACAAAGTTTTTTCCCAACAACTAGAGCATCCGAATACAAAAAGAATGGGTGGTGGATAGAAGACTCAAATAAACACAATAGGATTTCTTCTAAAGTAGACAGAGTAGAGTACATTCAAATCATAGCAGCTTAATACAAGCACAAGCATTTTCACACGGTTTTTACAAAATGCCTGAACAAGATACATTTGTCAGTTTATTACAGCACATTTAATAGAAATAAACAGTTACTCCCTGTTCTTGTATAACACAACGCCGGTCAAGCCATACAAGAAAACTGGTCAACATAAAAAGGTGGACGTCTTGACAGTAATTGAGTAATATTATACTATTGAAAAACACAAGGTGGGAACTGGGAGGCGGTAAGTGGTCATTTGTACACGTGACTGTCTTGGACAGGTGGCCGTGTGAGCAGGTTCAACGTATACATAACAAGAATCTGACATGTTACCTTCTGAAAATATCCTCTTCGTATCGATCTGTCCTTTGTCTGTCTGAAGTACACAAAGCCGAAGTAATGGGCATCGTCGCACTGGCAGATGGGGAGAAGAGAGGGAAAAGTCAACATCAACATGTTGCTGAGCTTTGTGTACAGAAAACTAACCTACTGATTTATCCCCAATTGCCAACATTCTTTCTTCCCTTCATCTACATGTGCAAAGTCACATTTTTGTCTGTCATGGCTAGAGCTGAAGAAAGATAACTCTGTTATCTGCAAGTATGAACAGGGACATTCAATATTTCTGCAAAGAACATATTATTTTACATGCATGAATAGAGTTGTGTGCAAAGAAGCACAGGAACAGAAATGTTAGTATTCACGAGTGAGAGTGTGTGCTAGCGAGTGTCTGCAGCAGCAATCAAATAAATGGCTACCATCTGGAATCTTGAAAAGAGAATTTCAAAACCAGACTGAGCTAGACAGGCTACAGTATCTTTATAATAAAAAGTAGGTCACTTTATTTTCTTCAGCTGAGTGGACACTTGACAATCAGTAGAGGGAAATATTCCGAGTTAGTCAATAACAAAGAATATATGTCTTCTACAAACCGCACTGCTTTAATTTCTCTAGGAAGACCGTGATGGTAATAGTAGAAAAATTCATCCTACTCAGAGAGTTGTAGTGAAGTTCAACACTGTTCATCAAAAGGAATACTGAAATGAAATGCAGCCCTTCATCTTTGTTCAAGTGCTTCATCGGCTGTTTACTGTATATATGCTTCTTGGGAAGCCAAGAATGTTTCTGAGTGTTCCGGGATCTGTTAGGGTAATAATTGTAAAGTGCACAGAGCAGACTGTAGAGCATGGATGCACTTTATTAATGCAATTATCATCATCATCATCATTATTATTATAATTATCATTATTATTATTACCATTATTATTATTATCATTATTATAATTATTATTTATTATTATCATTATCATCATCATTATTAACTCCAAACTCACCTGTAGAGCTATGGGAGCATCTCTGTTGTACTGACTGTGAGCCCTCATGAGTGACTTTCTCCCCGGACACTGACGGATCCTAAAGTGGAACTGTGTGTCGCCCATACACCCTGAGGATGACCAATGTCCAGTATAGATAAAAATCACAAATCAACAGTTTGACAAAACCTATGAGCAGAAGCAATACAAAAACAAAAATGACAGACCGAAGTCACCACAAAGAGACACAAAACCGCATAATATGAAGTATGTATTTCATCTAATCAGCTGAGATACAAACACTTTTCCAGAAAGTACAGACGTTGCTTGGATTTTACAAGCAGCAGGACACCATTTTGGCATCACAATTCTATATAGAATAATTGGAGTACAAATATCCCATACTATGATACTTGTACAAGAAAATTACTCACCAGAATTTGAATCAGGAAATGACAGGTAGCAGATATTCATTTTCTGTGAAGGTAAAATGATAGGAAAATGAGTCAGTGTTGGGAGGAAAGACCATGAAAACCATACTGCTTTTATTTAACAGTTCAATGTGCAAATGATTCTGCAGATATTAAACTTTATTTAAACTCATATCCTAACACGGGGGGAGCGAAACATGAAAGCAGACCAAACCTAACCTAGTACCCATTGGTTGTTATACAAACTATGAACACAACAAAAAAGACCAGAAATACCTAATTAGTGGCTTCACACATTGGGGGAAGTCTGCTATTAAAACAGACTCTCATGATTCATTAATATTTTTAAAGTGAAACTTAAATTCAAATTTCAAGTAAATAATCTAATCTCATTTACTGCTGTGCCTTGTGCTGCTGTCCTTGAACCTTACAAAATTTATAAAATGCCTTTTAAAATCAAACACTAGAGCTCCTACACATTACACACACAAAAGTGGACATCACAAGCAGACTTTGTTAGTTTCAGAAAAATTTCACAAGCTCGATCTACATTACATTGATTAAAGATTTTTAAAAATGTTCTTGAGAACACATTACAAGCCAGACTAACCAACCTCTTTGTCTGTGAGCTTGACATGACCAGGATAGATCAGCTGAAAGAACATAAAAGTAAAATAAAACAATTACACACACAGTTCAGTATGATTACAACATGTTACCACACATACAGCAAAACAAATCATCTGCGTCCTTGGTCCATATAATTAATAATCTAATAATAAAGATCGCTTCTACAGCACCCACTCCCTGGTAGCTCTATGCGCTTCCCAATAAAATAAGATTTAAATCAATGTTTTATGTATACACTGCCCACTGGCCCATTCAACGTACACAATTCCTTCAAATATACAATCATAATATGACAAAGAACACTATGCAAGAAAAAAAACCCAGCCACAGTATGGCAACTGATCATATTTGCTGTGAAAAATATGACTATTAGTAAAGTTACAAGACATAAAAATTTATAAATTAAAAATGTATTTTTAGAAAAGATTTAAATGCAGTCATACAACAAAAGAGCAGACTGCTGTTATTTATGGAGAAGGCCATCCATCCTATAGAATGAAATTAGCAATCTTTTACTTTTTTGCTGGATTCTGGTCACCGTAATCAGGTACGGTTATAGCAACTTAATCCGTACTTTATTGTAACCTGAATTCAACAAATATCATGGATGACATGAAACAACTGTTCAACATGTTGCACTCTAAAAGGCTGCCAAAAACCTGCACACACTTGTATCGGATTATTTACAAGTTGTTGTTGGGTGTTGTTTTTTTGGGGGGGGTATACTTGATGAATATTAAACAGGGCTTAAAATCAAGGAAATAATTAAGCTTGTCAACTTACAAGGTAATACTCAGTCACACACATTCTCAAAGAATCTCATTGATTATATATATATATATATCAATTGACCTCATCATGTCTCTCATGGAAAGCTGGGAATGTCAGGTATCTCTGGAATAAGACTATAATTAAATTAAAAAGACCTCTATAATCTTATCATCAGAAACTGGAAGACCTTTATCACGATAAATTCTACGTCATGAGACTAGGGACGGATTTAGCTTTGGTGGACTCACCGTGTTTACATGCAATATAATGTGCACTGACAACAACAGTGGTGGGTTTCAGGAGGGCAACAGAGAAAAGAAAAGTGGACCAGAAACATTAATTTTAATAGTTGGTATGGCATTCTCTCTCTCTCTTCTGGAGCTGTGGCACCATAAACAGTCAGCTATGCCGCCAGCAAACGTAGGAACTCAATAAGTCGCTCGGGGGTCCTTGAAGAGTGCTGAAAGTCGGTTACTGAAATGTCCCAGCAGACGAGTTCTGGCTCCATAGTTGGTGGGACATCTCAGGAACACATGGTCCATAGTCTCGTCCTCCTCCTTGCAGGCTCGACAGGACGGATCTGGGTTGTCTGCTGTCGCAATTTTGTGGAGATACGATCTCAGCTTGGGTGATTTTCCACCAGTTCTCATCTGGAAGAGAAGCCGGTAGTCCTGTCGTCTGAAAGAAGCCTCAAGCAGGTATGATGGCGGCTGGGCAAACGGCATTTTGGGTTTCGCCTCTCTTTTCAACTTTGCGCAGGTCGACCGGTGGATGACGGCTCTAGCTGTTGAGAAATCGATTGGCACGTCAATCTGGGTAAGCACTACTGCTTCTTTAGCGATGCTGTCAACTTCCTCGTTCCCAGCCAGTCCAGCATGGCCTGGAATCCACTGTATGTGGCTGGAACATTTGGAGAGTTGACAGAGGGTGTGTAGACGCTGCCACCTTTTCCGATTAGTTGGCTGGGCCGTACGAGAGACGCATGACTGCTGACCTGGAATCAGTGTATACATGACATCATGAATTCGTACACTGTTCGGAAAGCTGCCTGCTGTATGTAGTGAAATTATAACAAGATGCCCAGCGCTGTGTCGAGAGCTACAAGCTCGGCTCTATAGCTGGAACAATACCGGCCTGCGGGTACACGGTGGTCGAGTTCGGTATCACCAGTCTTGATCAGTATTCCACTGCCTCCTTGGTATGGCATTGCACAGCGAGGCTCAAAAGTAGTTCTGGCTTCGTTCGGTGTTGGGTCGATCAAGTTCAATTTTACTGAGACTACTTAGACTACCACTGTGATTCTCACCCGGGGTGAGGATAAAATGGATATAATATTATTCTCACCCAGGGTGAGAATAAAATGGATACTATGGTGAGAGAACAACAGCCCATTATTCTCATCCGGTTTTTCGTCTCCGCCCTTTTTATTTTGTTTTGGGTATTCTGTCTTTTTATTAGGCCTAGATCTACCCTTATCATTATTCTCACTTGCGTTTTTCCTCCCGGGGTCGCCAGATGTCTGGTGGTTGGACTGAGAACCCTTCGACTTCGACAGATATATCGATAAGATTGCTCGTTTCCACGCCGGTCATCCTTTCGATATATCCTACAGTACAGTTTGTCGATCAATGAACTGTACGTGTAAATGGGGCCTTTGCATTTCATGTTCACCGCTCCGCTCTGCTGCAGTGTGGCCAAGCTTTAGCCACACTAGATGCAGAGCTTGACACTTCGGCATAGCCCACAATTCACAATTCAATAAAACATAGATTTTTAAGTGTTGTGTGTGACCCGGCCGAGAAACAAACCCCTTGATGGGCCTTTCCCTCCCAGGAGATGCAGCCACCAGGTTGCCCCCATTTTAAATTCACAGGACTCAACTCGCCTCCCTCTCTCACTCGGCTTCCCCTCTCACTCCGCTGAGCTGAACACGCGAGACAACTAAAATCGCCAACGGGTCAAGGATAGGTACTGCGTGTTTTTGTTGTGGCCACCTCTATTCTCACCCCGGGTGAGAATAGCGCAGGCGAGTCTTTTGGCTATTCTCACCCGGTGGGTGTTCACCGTTATAGTATAGCCTAGGCCAACCAGTTTTAAAGCGTTCACCCTGAACCCCAGAATTCTACACTCTCTCTCTTTAGCTCTCTATCTTATAAAACGTTCTATTACTACTGTTAGTGTTAGCCTAAAAGCGTGCAATTTTGTTTGTGGGCAGTGGAGAGAGAGAAAGAGAGAGAGAGAGAGGAGTAGCACAAGAACTTCCGGGCAAAACAAAATGGCGATCCGCGTAGTTCGGCTCGAGTCGGAAAGTTAATCAGCCGTAGCATCTTTGTAGATGACCAAATTAATTTACTTTTGTGTTTTAACATTATTTTTAAACTTTGTTTTGGTCAATTTGATCATCTGCACCGATAGACAGTATTCAGAAAGAGACACAGAGAGAGAGAGAGAGGGGAGGAGTAGATCTTGCGAGAACTTCCGGGCAAAACAAAATGGCAACCCGCGTAGTTCGGCTCGATTCGAAAAGTGAAATAGCCATATATAGCATCTTTGAAGACGATCAAATTCAGCTTACTTTTGTCACATTTTGATTTTGTGCTATAACGTAATTTTTTCTTGGCTTTTACCAATGGCCACCTCTATTCTCACCCAGGGTGAGAATAGCACTGCAGGCGAGTCTTTTGGCTATTCTCACCCGGTGCGCGTTCACCGTTATAGCCTAGATCTAGGCCAACAAATTTTGCGTTCAACCTAAACCACGTAGAATTCTGTGCCGTGAACAAACGTTCCATTACAACTGTAGCCTACTAAAAGCGTACAATTTTGTCTGTGGGCAGTGGAGAGAGAGAGAGAGAGAGAGAGAGAGAGAGAGAGAAATTGAGAGAGAGAGGAGTAGCGCGAGAACTTCCGGGCAAAACAAAATGGTGACCCGCGTAGTTCGGCTTGATTCGAAAAAAAGTTAAATAGTCGTAGCATCTTTGTAGACAACCAAATTCATTTACTTTTGCGTTTTATCATTTTTAAACTTTGTTGGTCAATTTGATCGTCCACACCGATAGACAGTATTCAGAAAGAGACAGAGAGAGAGAAGAGGGGAGGAGTAGATCTTGCGAGAACTTCCCGGCAAAACAAAATGGCGACCCCCGTTGTTCGGCTCGATTCGAAAAGTGAAATAGCCATAGCATCTTTGTAGTCGATAAAATTAGCTTACTTTTGTGTTATAACGTAATCTTTTCTTTGCCTTTATCCATTTGATCATCCACACCGATAGAAAGTATTCCGAAATTAGGAAAAACAGGTCTTGTTTCACACCAGGTGAGAATAGCCTACGGTGGCAAGTCTCACCCGGGGTGAGAGGTCGATCTGAGAATAGCCACTTCCTTTGTTGTGAGTTCTGTTAGGGATAAAATGTTTCTTGGGTTTCAAGCCAATCCAATTCTGACACACTAGATTCTAGATCTAGATCTATTACAAACATTATTTTATTAAACAGCTTTGGTATTTTTTTACTTTCCCTCCCGTCTCACACTCAGCTACCAGTTGTCTATTTTCTACTAAATATTAATGCGCAGAACACGAATATCAACTTCATTTCCGTCGCAAATTATAGTTTTTGAAATATTTGATTGCTTTTAACCGAGATAGACGTGCTTTGGACCAATCGGGGGGTACCAGGGGGGCCTGCCCATAATTTGATATTTTACAGTTAGATTTTGATTTGAAATTGTCTTGAAAATAATTGATTTGCGACAGTTTTAGTGACTTTATCATGCATGTGTGATCTGCAGCAAACAGTACAGCAGTTTGACCCCTGAAACAGTGCATCTGTGTGCGGGAGTGAAAGTAAAAATTTACCACAGCTTTCAGTTTAGGCTATTGTTTTTAAAAACATACGACTCTGGCTAGTGAATTCCTTTACTTTAGACTGTTCTATTTTATTAAAATATTAGTACACTAGACTCTAGATTTCTAGATCTACTTGTCTACATGTAATCTATTGCCTATGTCTTACCTCCATCGCCTGACCAAGTTCTAAATCAAAAGTCACCACACACGCACAATGTATCCAATTTGAAAATCGATCCCATGGCAAGACAGCCAGCGTTCTGTTGAGTAGTTCGTCGTCATTCTGTATGAAGTTCGGGCTGTCAATAAGCCCATCTTCTCTGTGGGCGTCCATCTTTGTTTTGTGTATCCCAGCCTTGACCTTATCAACTTCCAACTTCCTTCCAGCCTTTAACAAAATTGTTTGTGATTTAATTTGAGATGATGTTCATATACACAAACAGCAATTAAAATTTATCCCAAAATATTACCTGAAAATATTAAATAGTCAACAAAGACGTTTTTTGAGCAGCTATTGCTCTCGTGTGACTCACAAATTGACATAATACACATTTAAAGAGTATAGTAAGAAATTAGCAAAATGGCCGTCTCATAGAGGAAGAAACAAATTGAGGCAATGTAACATGGTAAGAGTTGTTCTTGAAGAAGTATTATTGGAGATGGTTAAGCGTCGTCTTGCTTGTTATTTTCCACTTGTTTTCAGAAAAGGTTGTATCATCGGATGAGAACTTGGTCCCATGGTCGGATTTCCTGCTGTAAAGTGCAGTCAAGGCAAAGCCAAGCCGAGTTTGTTTTGCTTTCTCGTGTGGTGGAAGTCAGTGAAGACGTTGTGAAGTGCGTAGACTATGTGATGGAATGTTGGCTCTACCCTGACTTAATGTACTGTCCCAGTCTTGTGGGTTTTTTTTCAGCACTGCATTATTTGATTTCTTTTCTTTGTTCATAGACTTGTGGAGTCTGCTAAGGACTCAAATTTGTGGAGGCTATAGTCTATCTCGGTTTCAGGTTTATTTTCACTCTCCGTCTCCTGTCTTAGAACTTCTTTGCATTCTCAGATCTTTAGAAATCAGGGTGTCTAGATCTAGATCTAGACGAGTGCTGGTTCATCAACCTGCAGTGCAATTGATTTATTATATGTGACCATTTTTCCTACTTCACAGCGCTTCTTGCCTTCACAGGCAGCCACATTCTAATTTCGAAGGTTCTCTCTTTTTTATACTGGAAGTGGCTATTCTCTCCCTGTCTGTGTCTTGCTAATCTCTCCCTGTCTGTGTCTTGCTATTCTCTCCCACCTCAGGTGCGCTATAGCACAGACACACACAGAACAGCACAGAGTCATAGAGAATAACTTATAAATTGTACAGACCTAGATCTAGATAGATAAGTTTAGTTTTTTTATGGCCTTCGTTAGTTTATTTAATCATGGGCTGGGTGAAGGCTATCCTCACACCATGAACAGCAAGCAACAGTGAAAACAAACAAACAAACAAGCTAAGCTACACTAGATCTAGAATCTAGATCTAGATATCTAGATCCATGGTAATTATATGCAAGAATGAAATGTCAAGAGCAGAACGGATCTGATACTTCTAGATATACCAATACTCACAAATATTGCCTAATTTTAAGAAGGCTATTTTTGGTTTTTTTAAAAATTAAGGCTGCCATGTCTATGGCAACAGGAATCAATAGTTGGCCTAGATCTATACTCACAGGCAAAAGTAATGCGAATTCACATGACACTTGAAGAGGAGAGTAAATTGAAGCAATATTTTTATATAGAGAAACAGTTTTGAGGTGTCTCAAATTGCACTATAAAACAATGCTTGAGAGTTGGGGATTTCCTCGGGGACAGATTTTGTTATTCGGCATCAATGACCTTGACCTTGGGGCTTAAGTTCCAGTCAGTATCTGGTATGGCCTCCATTAGCGTTGATGACAGCAGTGCATTGGGGGTGAATAGAGTGGACCAAGCGATTGATTTGGCAGTTGGGGACCTGCACCCACTCCTGAAGAATAGCAGCGCCCAGTTGTGCAGCTGTCCGGGGTCTGGGCTGGAGTTGGGTGAGACACCTCTGAAGGATTTCCCAAAGGTGTTCTATTGGGTTCACATCTGGTGATCGGGGTTGGTTAGGCATGGTGGGTATGTTGTTTTGCACCAGGAACTGCTGGGTAGCACGTGCTGTATGAGGCCGGGCATATCCTGTTGAAAGAGGTGGTTTTGATGTCTCTGGAAAAATGGAACAACATGGGGCTGCAGGACTTTGTTGATGTAGCGCTGCACCGTCACTCCGTTGCCACGTCCAGGTCCTAAATTTTGGAAGATTATGGGTCTTTGGCTGATACCGATTGCGCCCCATTTCATCACGCTTTTTCCTCCCCACGGGTCTCTCTCCCAGATGTTCTCGTCAGAGTAGTGTTGTCAGGGGCGGAGCCAAATTCGGACTGTCTATTGTCAGGATCGATGCAGAAGTGACTCTCGTCACTGAAGATCACATGCTGCCACTGTCGATGACGCCAGTTAATGTGGTTCTGAGTCCACTGGAGACGCGCTCGTCGATGATGGACGCTCAGGGGTGCTCTCTGCTCCGGATGCCGACAACGCAGCCCCCTGGCCACAAGTCGGCGGCGTATGGTGCGGTCACTCACGGCTCTACCGTGCGTTCATAGGCTGTCTCTGAGGCAGACAACCGTAGATATCGGCGATGCTGAAGCATGACGAAGCGGTCTTGGGCAGCTGTTGTTAGTCAAGGTCTTCCCTCTTCTTTGGAGATCTCTCGTGGAGTTGGTTGCCTGGAATCTGTTTTGCAGGCGGTAGATAGTGCTGGCATGCACTCCCAGGACTGTTGCCACTTGCTGAGGGTTCCCGCCGACTTGCAGACATCCAATAGCTCTTTCTCAATTTTCCACAGATAATCATGGCATCTTGATAGTCGGACTATGCAACACTCAATCAAATATTTTAGGGCAGAGAATTTATAGGCCAGACCAACTTAACATGTTAGAGCAAAAATTCACGATTCAATTCATGTTTTAATTGCGTACCATTGAGAGGGTTGCTTTGTTGTATTGTTTGATGGATAAGCGGCGAATGGGCATCATGTTGTGTTTTTTAAATGGTGCCAATCCAATAACAAGAACACATTGTAAATAGAGACAAATGAAAACAACTCACGAAAATACTCAGTTTTGTTTTCTACACACTGTGTTACTTTTTCACGTTATTTATGCCAGTCAGTATACATTCACATGAGGAAACATGCCCACACCGTGGCGGAGGTGAGAATAACGGGTGCGTTTTTCTCACCAGGGATTCTATACTGACTAGAGTCTTAGAGTGTTTTCAAGTTTTGGTTGAAATTAATTTTGACTTTTACCCAGGTGACAGCCGAAGCTTCCACCTATCTAAATTAGGACCACTATACTAAGGGATCTTGAACTCGTGCAACTTGCACTTGGGATCTCTGAGATTTTTCGCCCTTACCCAAGAAGGCTAGAAGTTTGATCTTACTACCCTAATATAAGGGTGTATGTATATGGCTGAAAGACAGCAGTAAGAAGTAAACTTTTGTAGCAGTAGAAAGAGTCAGGAGTAAAGGACAGAGGAGCTCAGATGATGCCAAAGGGTGGAGGAGAGAAAGTTAAGATGCACACAGATGACTGAATGTGGCTAGATCTAGAGAAAAGGAGATGAAAGAAGAACATTTTACAAGAAAATTTTTTCGCTGTCAGGTTTTGAAACTTGTCGAACCTTTTAAATTAGAGTGTGCCACTTTTCCTCCTGACCTCGACCTGCTGATATTGTATTTTCATGTTAGCTTAGATTATAATACATTCTCTAATTTACACAGACTATGCATGAATCTTGTCTTGTGGGAGAGGATGGCACTGCAATCTTCTGTGCTTGAAAGAAATAGATCAATTCAATACTCAATACCACCACATATCATTTTAGTTCCACGTTTTTCGCTCATGATAGGCACGCTAGGATGACTTTGGGGTCACTATCATTTTATTATTCAATATCAATTATCAATGCCTTTCAAGTCACCGTAATTGTCTTTTCTCTTATTTGACTCGTCTGAACAGTGTGATGTGTGCTATAGTGCTCCTAAATGATACATCATTTGTCGAACAGTGTCCAATGTTTTTTGGTAATTTCTTATAATTATTAAGAGAATTGTTTATTTTTTATCACGATCACTGTCCGTGTCGTTGGATTTTAGGTTGACTGGTTTAGTATTGAAATATTACAAAAGCTTGGTACAGTAGTATGTCTTGATGAATATCTATAGTAATAGGTGTATCCAGTGGGACTTTGAAAATGAATTCATGGATGTTTTGAACGGAAGAATTATAATAAAAGTCTCTTCTTGGAAACTTTGACTTCGACTGTCTTGGATGGGAAGATGCAAATACACACACAAACTCTCTTGCACACACAGGTAGGCCTACACATTCTCCCGTGTGCTCACACTTTCTTAAAATATGTACTAACATGTTGTACCTGGTTGGCTGGATAGTGTCACATTTCACTATTATGGGTGACACCTGTTACGACTTATATGTATTTAAGTAATATATACCTTTGTTAGACATGATCGAGCTGGAATGCTGAAGACGTACGGTTATTATGTAATGTAATTATATTTTGTTTTGCTCTGTGAATTGTATGTCATAATGTGACCTTTTATCATTTAGCAGTGACTAAATTTCCTTTTTGCCAAGATGTACACATATTTGAGGTTAACTGTGCTATCAGTACTATTAAAAAGTAAATCATGAATAAAGTTCTACTTTACGATAAAACCTTCCTTTCTGTATAGACCACTGTTGTATGTAGCATAGACATTAAGCTCTTCAAGGTTGAGCAATATATCATGAATTTGATCTTCAGTTAGGGAGCTTTTTATTTAGTGTCTCTTTTTTTGCTGGGATGCTTGAATTCCTTCCAGCCCACATTGAAAGTGACAGGGAGAATCGAAGTAGCGTCCCTCTAAAATAATCCAATTTATAATTTGTGTTGATTGGGTAAAAAAACACTACAATTAAATAATATATATATATGTCATTGTTATAGAACCATATTTGACATTACTTTTGACAAGATACTGCTGAGTAGTCTAGCTCTTTTTTTGTTTTTAAAAAAATGCTAGACATGTTGACAGAAAGGTGGACGGATGAACGACGTTATTAAGCAGCATGTATTTGTGTGTCAATTGTTGGGGTTTTTTTGTGTCTATTTTTGAATGGGATTTTAAAGATTAAAATTTTTGTCTTTCCAGGTGGAAGGGGAGGAAAAACTTCGCCCAACTATGTCGGCATTGGCTATACTGTCATGCCGTCCAAACTCACATCCGTTTCAAGAGAGGCACATTTCATTGCATGAAGCAGTCAAGATTGGCAGGTCTGTGGCGCGGGCCAGACCCTCTGCCAGTAATGGAATATTCGATTGTAAAGTGCTGTCCAGGCACCATGCCATGTTGTGGTATGAAGCGGGAAAGGTGAGTACACCCTTACGTAACTGTTTGATCTTTTTTTGTTGTTGTGAGTCGTGTATTTTTCATGCGGACTCTTTCCATAATGTTAAAATAGGTTCTTGTAATAATATGTTGATTAGCATCATGCCACGTTTGTATGTTAGGTAGTTTGAGTTTTCCATTTAGTGTTGGTTGAGTTTGTAGTTTCTCTTTCATTTTCTCTCTCTCTCTCTCTCCCTTTCTCCATTTTTTTTCTCCTCCTCTCTCTTCCGCCCTCAGCTCTCCCCATTCCCTATCTGTCTCTCTCTTCTCCCTCCTCTGTTTTTCTCCTTGTCTCTTTCTCTCTCTCTCTCTTTCTTCATTCTTTCCCTCTTTCTGACAACCCCCCCCCCCCTAGTTCTCATTGCGTTTTCAAAATTCTCTTTCCTGAAAAAAAAAATTCATTCTGAGGTTTCGAACATTTGTAATTGCTTTCCTCCGAGTCA